TACAATGCGCGCACTTGTAGCGATTGTAAATATTTTGCTTATTTTTCATTTTCACGTTTACCTATTTCGCTGCAGTTGTTGAACAGCTTTGTTTTAATTAACTGTATATACACACACTTGGTTACGCGCTCGCCTTCCGTGGTTCTTCCTTGGTTGCCGCTGGATTGATGTGATTGTGCGCATCGCTGCCTGCTTGGTTCACGATCGGACTCTACGTACACGTACATTTCGGCATACCTCGGGATTTACGGCCGTCCGACGCTAAGGTGCATCAGGATACTTTATATGTGAGGTAAACCTGACTGACTGGGTATTCTCCTTTATCGGTTCCTCCATATAATTGGTGACCCCGCATTTTTATTCAACATTTTGTGTATATTTTTCTTTTTAACTTTACAATGTCTGATCACGCGCCTGCCATTAATGCGTCGGAACATTCTCTTGGACTCGTTTTGCCTTCATTTGACGTTTCTAACCCACGTGTTTGGTTTGTTCAAGTGGAAGCTGTTTTCCGTTTTCGTAAGATTACATCCCAATCCACAATGTTTTCATATGTGACTGCTCACTTACCGTCCAACATCGCCTCTGAGGTCATCGACATTCTTGACCCTATGCCCCTAGAGTCCCCTTATGATAAACTTAAGGCAGCTATATTAAAGCGCACTACAGCCTCAGACGAATCACGCCTTCAGCAGTTACTCTCTGGTGTAGAACTTGGAGATAGAACGCCATCTCAGTTACTCCGACACATGCGTTCCCTCGTCGGTTCTTCCGCACTGGATGATTCCGTTCTCCGCCAGTTGTGGAGTAATTGTCTTCCTGCGAATACCACGGCTATTTTAGCTGTGCTTGCCGACGATCTTCCGCTACACAAACTGGCAGAGGCTGCCGATAAGGTTCACGAACGCTTCATTAGAACGTCGGTATCACACGTCACAGAGACTAGCTCCGGCAGCCCCTCCAGAACCACGCTACTTGATACAATCAGCGAGAGGCTTTCTAACTTAGAGCTCACCTTGTCCCATCTCAGACGCGACCGCGTTCCTTCGCGACGATCCGTTTCTCGATCCAAACGGTCTAGCAGCTCTCGTACACGGAAGTCTCACCGTTATTGTTATTATCACCACCGCTTCGGAGACGCAGCGCGTAAGTGCCGTCCAGGGTGTAAACACCCCAAAGCCTTTTCAACTCCTACGTCGGGAAACCACATGGCCAGCCAGTAATGGCGGCGGCTGTCGCTGGCCAGGTTATTAGTCGCCTGTTGTATGTATTTGACTCCACAACCAAACTTCACTTCTTGATTGATACTGGTGCAGAAGTCAGCGTTCTCCCCCGTTCTCTGGAAATACGCCCCCTGCAACCAGCGGGTCCAATGCTTACGGCAGCTAATCAGACTAAAATCGCGACCTACGGCCAGAAATTACTTACTTTGAGTCTCGGATTACGGCGTAACTTCCCTTTCCTTTTTACCTTCGCCGATGTGCAAAAGCCCATTATCGGAATCGACTTCCTCAGCAAGTTCGGTCTTGTGGTCGACCTACGTTGTGGGAAATTGCGAGACGATACTACGTCTTTAAGCATACCCTGCAAACTTGCCTCAGTCAATTCTCTCGGGCTTCGCATCCTCATCCCTGACGACTCACAGTATTCTTCATTGCTCCGACAATTTCCGTCCCTAATTCGAGCAAGTAACGACACTTCCGATCCCAAACACGATGTACGCCATCACATCGTTACAACCGGTCCGCCGGTAACTGCTAAAGCTCGACGCTTGCGTCCTGACAAACTCCAGGCAGCTAAAAAGGAATTCCAACACATGCTTGATCTCGGCATTATTCGTCCTTCAAACAGCTGCTGGGCATCACCTCTCCATCTGGTGTCTAAAAAGTCAGGCGATTGGCGACCATGCGGTGACTACCGTGCTCTTAACAACGTCACTGTTCCGGATAGGTACCCTATCCCACATATCCACGATTTCTCCCTTGGACTAGCTGGAAAGTCAATCTTTACCAAACTCGATCTTGTCAGAGCTTACCATCAAATTCCAATGGCGGAGGAAGACATCGCAAAAACTGCCGTGATCACTCCATTCGGCCTTTACGAATTTCTTCGTATGCCTTTCGGCCTCCGGAACGCAGCACAGTCTTTCCAACGCTTTATGGATTAAGTCCTCCGTGGCCTTGATTTCGTCTACGTTTACATTGACGATGGCTTGATCGCAAGCGCCACACCCGACGAGCATTTATCACACCTCCGAATGGTTTTCGAACGCTTTGAAAACCACGGGATAAACATCAACCCGGACAAATGCAACTTTTGTCAGCCAACCGTCGAATTTATCGGTCACAAGATCGATGGTGAAGGTTTTAGACCCCTCCCGGATAAATCTCAAGCAATCCTCGACTACCCGATGCCACAATCTGTCAGAAGCCTTCGCCGATTCCTCTGTATGATCAACTACTACGGCTGATTCATTCCCAACTGTGCTGATTTACTTCACCCGCTTACCGACTTATTGAAAGGAAACTCAAAGACGTTTACGATAACCCCAGAAGTTGAAGCTGCTTTCACGGCCGTTAAGCAGAAGCTCAGTGAGGTCACCTCTCTCCATCACTTGAACACCACTGAGGACGCTACACTTGTCCTTAAGACGGATGCTTCAAGTTCTGCTGTCGGTGCAGTTTTGCAACAGATAGTTGATAACGAATTTCAAGCGCTGTCGTTTTTCTCACGGAAGCTACAACCTGCTCAGGTCAAGTACAGCACCTCTGGTCGTGAACTGCTGGCCATGTACTTGGCTGTGAAACATTTCCGTCACCTATTAGAAGGACGTCGTTTCATTCTCTTGACAGATCACAAACCACTGGTGTATGCCTTCCGTTCTTCCTCAGACCGTTACTCACCCCGAGAAACGTGTCATCTGGACTATCTTTCACAGTTTTGTGTTGATGTTCGTTATATCGACGGTCCTATCAACGTTGTTGCCGATGCATTGTCCCGCGCTCATAAGAATCAACTGTCATCGACGCCCATCGACGTGGAGAGAATAGCGGCCGTCCAAAACGATGATCCTGAGCTTGTTCAACTTCGTTCAAACTCCTCATTGAAAGTCACCCAACTGCCCGTACTTAACTCTGACATAAGAGTTTACTGTGATCTTTCAACCGGTAAGCCTAGACCCTTTGTCCCACAATCATTTCGCCGAACCATTTTTGATCATTTTCACGGTTTTTCACACCCAAGTATCCGCTCCACCGTAAAACTCATTACCGACCGCTTCCTCTGGCCCAATGTGCGTTCAGACATTAGACAGTGGGCTAAACATTGCCTTAGTTGCCAAACTAGTAAAGTGCATCGTCACACAGTCACCACCCCAGGTACATTTTCACACCCTGGCGCTCATTTTAGACACGTGCACGTAGATATTGTTGGCCCTTTACCTCATTCGAACGGTTTCACTCATCTTCTAACATGTGTTGACCGTTTTACCCGTTGGCCACAAGCTGTTCCCTTACGTGATACCTCTACCGAATCCGTATCCCGTGCTTTTGTTGAATCTTGGATTTCTCTGTTTGGTGTTCCATCCACCATCACTACCGACAGAGGGGCTCAGTTCAGTTCCACACTGTTCCGCGATCTGAGTCGTTTATTAGGCTGTACTCACATGAGAACAACCGCGTACCACCCCGCTGCCAATGGCCTCGTCGAGCGCTTTCATCGACAATTAAAAGCTGCCATCATGGCTACTTCGTCCTACTCACGCTGGTCTGAGCGTCTACCTGCGATCCTCCTTGGTATACGCAATACAATCAAAGAGGACATTGGGTGCTGCCCTGCAGAACTCGTGTTCGTGACGACCCTCAGACTACCTGGGGAGATGGTACTGGACTCTAGCACCACCGGTGAACTAGACTCCTTCTCGTACGCTGAACGCCTCAAACAGCATTTTCGATCCATTCGACCAACTTCTACGCGGCCTAACCCAAGTAAACAGCAAGTCCACCCCGATTTACACAAGTGTACGTTTGTTTTCATCCGTGTCGACGCCGTCCGAAGACCTTTAACTCCGCCCTACGTCGGCGCGTACCAGGTCTTGTCACGGAAACCCAAGTATTTCGTATTGAATAAGAATGGGTCAAAAGAATCCGTGAGCATCAACCGACTCAAGCCAGATTACGTCGAAACTACAGTCGATAGTAAAGACCCCGTTTCCTCCCCTCAGCATACCCCTGTCCCTGACTCATTACCCCCTACCCAACGATACACTGACGCCAGTACATTGAGTCCTCCATGCCCTACGACTACACGCAGCTCCAAACACACACGTTTTGGTCGTGTTGTTTCCTTTCCACATAAGCTTGCTCAATACGTTTCGTAGGCACTTGTCGAGCGTTTTCTTAGTGCACGCCCTAGGGGAGGGGTACTGTAGCGATTGTAAATAATTTGCTTAGTTTGCCTTTTCACGTTTACCTTTTTCGCTGCAGTTGTTGTACAGCTTTGTTTTAATTAACTGTATATACACACACTTGGTTACGAGCTCGCCTTCCGTGGTTCTTCCTTGGTTGCCGCTGGATTGTTGTGATTGTGCGCATCGCTGCCTGCTTGGTTCACGATCGGACTTTACGTACACGTACATTTCGGCATACCTCGGGATTTACGGCCGTCCGACGCTAAGGTGCATCAGGATACTTTATATGTGAGGTAAAACTGACTGACTTGGTATTCTCTTTTACCGGTTCCTCCATACAGGATACGTGGGCATTAATTGGTTGGACAGGGTGTGATGCGGTCTTTGTTTTAGGTCCATCAGTATTTCAAAGTTCGCTAACTCCTGGTTCAACGATCCGCCGAAGAAGGAGCACTCACGGGATCTATTCTATCGTTCCAGTCCCGCTTGAACTTGAACTTGAAAGGTCTTTCTGCTCTCTACAATGATTACAATGATCACAATGAATGACCTTGCTCTGTTAGTGCGATAGCTAACACGCTTCTCCGTCGGAATGGTCCATCTCACTGGATGGCCGAAGGGCTCGTCAGAAAAATTTCTGCAGTCCACTCCCGTCGCAAAAACGATTACATTGTAAGTTTCCATGTATTCTATGATAGTTTTTACGACTGAACATTTGCCTGTTAAAGACGAATTTCTGACGACGGACTCAACTTCAACCACCACTTACGGTTTAATTATCCACATTTTGTCATGTTTTATGGCCGGTTGGATCATTTTTAATCAGCATGCATGATCATATAGGTAGCGTGCACTTCTATGCAACCACTGCATTGTTTTAAAACAGTGCGATGTAAATTTACATCGTTTTTGCGAATTTCTATGTATTGGCAACAGTCTAACGAATAGAGCCAAGCAAAACCATGGCAATCATCGGAAGAATACATGTTTACTCATCACATCATGGCGCATTAGTTAAAGGTGAGCAACACACTTCCGCAATTGTGCCGTAATAACGGAACTGATTTTGTTATTTTTTTCTCACGCAATTTTTATTATTTTCTCAATCTCAGTTGTTAGGCATTAGATACCTGGATCTAGACAGGTACGCTCACAAATCTTTTATTGCTTTTGACAACGCATCATATCCGGCATTGTTTTTAGTCATCGACACTTCGTCATTTGGTCCCCAAGCAGGCAGGATTGTGGGTCCAATGGCAGCGAGACGTAAAATCGACGATTTCATATGCTGACGCTAAGTAGACTACTGGCCACCACGCGGTCTCTTCCAGCGAAGACCTTCACGTGCGAAAAGGGTGCAGTAAGGCAAACGCCCTGCTGACATACACAAAACGTGACCGAGCCATCTTATCTCACGCGGCAAAACCAGTTTGTTGAGGGTCTAGTCGCCTCCCCTAAGACACGACGTCGGACTTTATTATTGGAAATACGTTGTTGCCACCACACACGAGTAATCCTGCTCAAACACCCATTGTCAAAAACCGAGAGCCGGCGCATGTCATCTATGTAAACTGGCCATGATTCGCTTTTATATAACATCACCCAAACGGCGGCATTGTAAACACGACCCTTTACCAAGAGGGAGACTTCACGACGACGCCACAAGTGCTTCGGGTTAACAAAAGCCTACCGAGCTTTGGCGATGCGAAAAGAAGCTTCTTTCCAATGGTACCACCAGCAGCCACAGCTGCCCAGGTAAACAAAGCTATCCATTAGTACAAGCCGTGTATCTTGAATAGTGAACACGAGGACGGGTGGGTGCCAATCCTCAAACAGCACTTTAGACTGTAACAGGGCAAAGCACATTTCATACCTAGTTGCCTCAATCGCCAAACGGTCTAGACTGGTTTGCATGCTCAGTGAACTGTACGGAGATATCATCGGCGTAATCCAAGTCGGTCGCTCGCTCGCTTACCCGGTAGTAGCGGTAGTAGCTCTTGACAAGACGTCGTAAAATTGAAGAGGAACGGGGACATAGGACTGCCCTGTTATACACCGCTATTGACAGCAAAGAACTGCAAAAGCCTGCCGTATACCCTCACTCTGCCGGGGAGGTGGAAATACAGTGCGCGTAAGTTGGCAGTGTACTTTACTGGGGCACCGTTCCTTAGCAAAAGCCATGGTTCAGGTCGATCAACCAAGTCGAATGAGACACGGATGTCCAGAAATGCAACGATGGTAGGCCTATGCTAAAGCTGGTAGTTTTCGAGGATTTGGCGGAGCTTAAATATCTGATCCGCACACCCGCAACCAGGTCGGAGGCAAGCTTGTTCTTCCCGTCACTTCGATTCACGAAAAGTTTATAGAGTAGAATTTACAAACTTGGAAGGAAATAAACTGACCACTTGCTGTGTACCTCGTTTTTAAGTGTTCCTTTTTAATTGTAAGCTAGAGTTGCTTATTCACTTTTTTGTCTTGTCGACGTCTTTTGACGGTAAGTGTACTTCCCATGGTACTGTTCTTTAGTAGCCATGAAAATAGTTGAGTGAATATATTCCCACAAGTATACAACTATGCTTATATTCACTCACTTCCTGCCTGGGTACTCGGGCTAGTTCGTTGAGTTATAAGGAGCCCTTTGAGAACAGGATCGCGACCAACAGTCCTAGGATGCTGGGATAGTCGCAACAGTATGGTGCGATCCTCTTATCTAATGCAAGTAGGAATTCAGCAACCACATGAAACTTTCCACGGACTGGGCATTGACAACCTTTGCTGGAAGACGAGTTTTGCAGTTCATCATTTGGGTGGTTAGGGCGACAGTAGAGTGAAGGTAGAACCTTCTCGGTTTAAATTGCTTCAAGTCGTGACTTCGTTCAAGCCTCCTGTGTTGAGCTTAGAAAACTGCTTTAGTTCGTTTCTAAGTTCCAAATTAGTGTGCGCTTGGTAAAGATGAGGTCCCCGCGTCGGCGACGGTAGTCTAGAGAGCCGGAAAGAGTAGGAGGGATTCCGAAATCCAAGGACAGACTTCGAGCCACCTCTATGGCCGTTTTCATTCAGGGCAAATTCCAGTTTTGCGAGTGGAAAGACAGCTGTTATGCCGTATTTGAGTATTGGGTGTACGTGAAATGTAAACAGAACCTTGAAGATATCTGGTGTTATTCGGGAGAATGACCTTATGGTTATCAGTTGCCACTCTCCACAGCGTGTCCTGTGGTCTTTAGTTTAGAGGCTATTATCACACCTAAGTCTTTCACTCGAGCAGCGTCCTTGAGATGGAAGCCATCATATGGTAGGTACCGAGTGGCAACATAACTCAATTGGTGATTAGGCCCCATTTAATGGACTGGTGGTGAAGTAGATCTAGCGAGTCTTGTAATCTCAGCGGCTTAATGGTCGGATACCTCAGACCGTAGCTTAAGGTCATCAGCATGAATTTGATATTCCGTTTAAAGTATTTCTGGAAAGTATTAATTTAGCGCTTGACAAGTTCAGACCCAAGAACGGAACCTTGCGGAACTCCGCTGATCATGTACACTGGTGGAAAGCGTTTCTCGTTCACCCTCAATGTGCGTTCTCGATCTTGTCTCACACCTGTACTACTCGTGGTCATCCGCTGACGTTGCACAAACCCCTGTCAGATTGGCTCGACATTGATTTTCGGTTTTCGTGTAGGACTATAAGTTCATGGAACGCGCTGCCCGCGGAAGTCGTAATGGCTCCAACCGTGAGTTCGAACACCGAATTGACGCGTTTCTCTTCATAACTTAAGTTTTCACCCTTTTTTAAGCCTACTCCTTTTTAAACTTAAATTTGCATTTCAACTTACTACGTTTATTGTTACAACTAGCCTTTCCTTCACGCTGGAGCACAGCGGAGACTGCTAATGCAGTGCACGTGGTCATTATTTGGCTGACCATAGTATGAATCGTGCACGTTGCTTTGCCTCTTGCTTACAGATCTATCCACCATATTCCCTTCAGGATCATTGGCGTTTTCAAAGATTAAACGCTCATGCGATCTTCCCACTGTTTCGGTCACATTTGAACTGGAATTTGAATTCCATAGTTTTTTCAGCGGGCGCCCTGCTTCCCGGTTGCCCAAGCAGAAGAATTGACTTAGGGGTCAACACTCCGAGTCTTTAGCTGAATAGCGTACCCGCAAGGCGGCGGAACGAAGTCAGGAAATCCCACCCATTGTGTGACGGTGACCGATTTTGCAATCCATACACTTTTGTCTGGTCAGTTGCCAATTAAGCGTCCTATCCTCCATGAAGTCAACATCGGACTGCTAAGATCCAATCCTCTACCAATGTGAAGCAAGGAGCGGTATTGGGTCACATCCACCACGTCACAGGGTTTTTGAACGAACATATGTGGGGGAGAACGCTTGCCGGGCGAAAACTTACCCCTTCCTGGAACACTCGCAGATCTGTTCTCCGGAACAGGGCAACCCGAACCGTCCAACAGACACTACAAAGAAATTGTTCTTTAAACCAATCCACGTCCGCTATCCCACATGATATACTGTGCTTTACGGAGATAGTGTGAAATTGGATCTCTTGGTCAGGCAGTATTTCGCTCGTTGGAAGTCCCGCTACCGAACAACTAGGTATCTGCCATCTCCACTACATGTGGCCACGTATTACGCATGCCAGCACAGCGACTCTCGCAACGCGCGTTATTTGCGCGCCGGGGATGTGGATTGAAGAATTGAGGCCAGCTGATGACTTGATCAAAAGTAGTGCTACATGCGCAACTTGGTGGAACGTGTTTAGTTTGAAGAACTTTTTCCAGCTGAGCTGAAGGATATCCTTGTTTTACCACTGCAAAAGGGCGAAGGAAGCGAGAAATGTACCATCGGTTATAATGGTATCAGCATGCGTAAGTTGCGTTGAGTTGATTACACGTGTTTTTGTTCAGCCTCTTCTCTCAGACCCTGGAAGCGGACATAGATAAAAAGTAGTGTGGACTCTGTTCGGGCCTCGGCATGCTGCTCGTAGCCCGTCATTTGCAAAAAAAATGCTCTGGGCTAAACTGCTCACGGTTTACTGGGAGGCGCTCTTGGGGGCATTAGGTAACTTTGGTATATCCGTCTAACAAATAGATTTCACGTTGTTTTGCGAGCGAGGTTGCAACTAGGTGAACAAACCTCGGGTGACTTTGTTGTTGTCTCTATTGTGAATCAAATCTGTGTCCTAACCCTTACTTTGTCTAACATTTATCTTACTTCGTGGTATGCTTTCGAAACCCATGAATATGATGTTCATCCCAAGCACCACATCGACGGTGTGGTGCTGAACATTCCTCGTTTCGTCGGGCGAATCCGAGCGTAGGAAACAGCCATCCGTATGTTGTTGTTTGCTGACGACCGCATTGTTTGCACACAACGAAGACGAGTCTGGACGTATTCCAATTCACTTCAATTGAACAACTATGATTTGTGCCTTGAAATGCGGTGGATCCGGTTGCCACAATTCACATTGCAATCATTAACAACGTCAAGATAGTTGGGTTGAGTGCAAAAGCAATCTAAGAAAAATAGAAGCAAGAAGTGCATTAAATTAATCAGAATGCAACGAAAATTAACAACCAGATGCAAGAAACTGAATGCAGGAATGCCACTGACTGCGCGACCGCGCCATGCCTTATGCGGTCTCCAACCATTAGTGT